CCACTCCGCCTGGCTATCTTGATGTGTGAAGTTCAGTGTCTTTTCTGTAGGGAAGCTAATGATCCATAATTTATGACATTCCTGGGAGTGTGCAAACTTACATTTTGTATTACCATAGCATTTTTGTATGTTCTCTATGGTTATGTACTTGAAAACCAATTCATCACATTTGGGAAAACTCCTGGCAGACTTGATACAAAATATTGTGTAGCGATGTAATTCTTCACTGGATCAGTTTGAAACTTTGCACACACACTCATGCCATCTGGTGGACAACATCTAAACTTCTTTATCTAGAATCCTACATCACTGTCTGGCCTTTCTCTTGTATTTCAAAGATGATGTTTGTATTATCTTTTACCAGATCGAATGTGTTATATTCTCCTACATTAATTCCACATCTCCACAAACTTCAAATTGTTTCCTTTCAAATGATATAAAGAATATGCATGGTCCTGAGCTACAGGCAGTTAGATTTGGGTATGTCATTTTAGGCAAAAATTGAAAAAAAGGGTCCAATCCTTAAGAGGTTTTAAACAGCCATCACTAGCACATTAGTGGCTGCTGCCTATAGACATAGACTAGAAATCATTGGCCACTTTAAGAAATGGAACACTAGCCACTTTAATAATGTTTACATATCTTACATTACTCATCTAATATGTATATACTCTATTATATACTATTCTACGGTATCTGAGTCACTTTAATAATGTTTACATATCTTGCATTACTCATCTCATATGTATAGTTGAATTCAGAAGTTTACATACACCTTAGCCAAATACATTTAAACTCAATTTTTTTTAAATTCCTGACATATAATCCTAGTAAACATTCCCTGTCTTAGGTCAGTTAGGATCACCACTTTATTTTAAGAATGTGAAAGGTCAGAATATTAGTAGAGAGAATGATTTATTTCAGTTTTTAATTATTTAATCACATCCCCAATGGGTCAGAAGTTCACATATGGCATTTGGTAGCATTGCCTTTAAATTGTTTAACTTGGGTCAAATGTTTCGGGAAGCCTTCCACAAGCTTCCCACAATAAGTTGGGTGACTTTTGGTCCATTCGTCCTGACAGAGCTGGTGTAACTGAGTCAGGTTTGTAGGCCTCCTTGCTCGCACACGCTTTTTCAGTTCTGCCCACACATTTTCTATAGGATTGAGGTCAGGGCTTTGTGATGGCCACTCCAATACCTTGACTTTGTTGTCCTTAAGCCATTTTGCCACAACTTTGGAAGTTTGCTTGGGGTCATTGTCCATTTGGAAGACCCATTTGCGACCAAGCTTGAACTTCCTGACTGATGTCTTGAGATGTTGCTTCAATATATCCACATTATTTTCCTTCCTCATGATGCCATCTATTTTGTGAAGTGCACCAGTCCCTCCTGCAGCAAAGCACCCCCACAGCATGATGTTGCCACCCCTGTGCTTCACGGTTGGGATGGTGTTCTTTGGCTTGCAAGCAACCCCCTTTTTCCTCCAAACATAACAATGGTCATTATAGCCAAACAGTTTATTTTTGTTTCATCAGACCAGAGGACATTTCTCCAAAAGGTACGATCTTTGTCCCCATGTGCAGTTGCAAACTTTAGTCTGGTTTTTTTATGGCGGTTTTGGGCGCAGTGGCTTCTTCCTTGCTGAGCGGCCTTTCAGGTTATGTCAATATAGGACTTTTTTTACTGTGGATATAGATACTTTTGTACCTGTTTCCTCCAGCATCTTCACAAGGTCCTTTGCTGTTATTCTGGGATTGATTTGCACTTTTCGCACCAAAGTATGTTCATCTCTAGGAGACAGAACGCGTCTCCTTCCTGAGCGGTATGAAGGCTGCGTGGTCCCATGTTGTTTATACTTGCGTACTGTTGTTTGTACCGATGAATGTGGTACCTTCAGGCGTTTGGAAATTGCTACCAAGGATGAACCAGACTTGGAGGTCTACAATTTTTTTTTCTGAGGTCTTGGCTGATTTCTTTTGATTGTTCCATGATGTCAAGCAAAGAGGCACTGAGTTTGAAGGTAGGCCTTGAAATACATCCACAGGTACACCTACAATTGACTCAAAATTAACCTATCAATTAGTCTATTAGAAGCTTCTAAAGCCATGACATCATTTTCTAGAATTTTCCAAGCTGTTTACAGGCACAGTAAACTTAGTGTATGTAAACTTCTGACCCACTGGAATTGCGATACAGTGAATTATATGTGAAATAATCTTTCTGTAAACAATTGTTGGAATTATTATTTGTGTCAAGCACAAAGTAGATGTCCTAACCGACTTGCCAAAGGTATAGTTTATTAACAAGAAATTTGTGGAGTGGTTGAAAAACGAGTTTTAATGACTCCAACTGTATATACTGTATTCTATACTATTCTACTGTATTTTAGTCCATGCCGCTCTAGCATCGCTCGTCCATATATACACTGCTCAAAAAAAATAACACATCCTAGATCTGAATGAATGAAATAATCTTATTAAATACTTTTTTCTTTACATAGTTGAATGTGCTGACAACAAAATTACACAAAAATTATCAATGGAAATCAAATGTATCAACCCATGGAGGTCTGGATTTGGAGTCACCCTAAAATTAAAGTGGAAAACCACACTACAGGCTGATCCAACTTTGATGTAATGTACTTAAAATAAGTCAAAATGAGGCTCAGTAGTGTGTGTGGCCTCCACGTGCCTGTATGACCTCCCTACAACGCCTGGGCATGCTCCTGATGAGGTGGTGGATGGTCTCCTGAGGGATCTCCTCCCAGACCTGGACTAAAGCATCCGCCAACTCCTGGACAGTCTGTGGTGCAACGTGGCGTTGGTGGATGGAGCGAGACATGATGTCCCAGATGTGCTCAATTGGATTCAGGTCTGGGGAACGGGCGGGCCAGTCCATAGCATCAATGCCTTCCTCTTGCAGGAACTGCTGACACACTCCAGCCACATGAGGTCTAGCATTGTCTTGCATTAGGAGGAACCCAGGGCCAACCGCACCGGCATATGGTCTCACAAGGGGTCTGAGGATCTCATCTCGGTACCTAAAGGCAGTCAGGCTACTTCTGGCGAGCCCATGGAGGGCTTTGCGGCCCCCCAAAGAAATGCCACCCCACACCATGACTGACCCACCGCCAAACCGGTCATGCTGGAGGATGTTGCAGGCAGCAGAACGTTCTCCACGGCGTCTCCAGACTCTGTCACGTCTGTCACATGTGCTCAGTGTGAACCTGCTTTCATCTGTGAAGAGCACAGGGCGCCAGTGGCGGATTTGCCAATCTTGGTGTTCTCTGGCAAATGCCAAACGTCTTGCACGGTGTTGGGCTATAAGCACAACCCCCACCTGTGGATGTCGGGCCCTCATACCACCCTCATGGAGTATGTTTCTGACCGTTTGAGCAGATACATGCACATTTGTGGCCTGCTGGAGGTCATTTTGCAGGGCTCTGGCAGTGCTCCTCCTGCTCCTCCTTGCACAAAGGCAGAGGTAGCAGTCCTGCTGCTGGGTTGTTGCCCTCCTACGGCCTCCTCCACGTCTCCTGATGTACTGGCCTGTCTCCTGGTAGCGCCTCCATGCTCTGGACACTACGCTGACAGACACAGCAAACCTTCTTGCCACAGCTCGCATTGATGTGCCATCCTGGATGAGCTGCACTACCTGAGCCACTTGTGTGGGTTGTAGACTCCGTCTCATGCTACCACTAGAGTGAAAGCATCGCCAGCATTCAAAAGTGACCAAAACATCAGCCAGGAAGCATAGGAACTGAGAAGTGGTCTGTGGTCACCACCTGCAAAACCAGTCCTTTATTGGGGGTGTCTTGCTAATTGCCTATAATTTCCACCTGTTGTCTATTCCATTTGCACAACAGCATGTGAAATATATTGTCAATCAGTGTTGCTTCCTAAGTGGACAGTTTTATTTCACAGAAGTGTGATTGACTTGGAGTTGCATTGTGTTGTTTAAGTGTTCCCTTTATTTTTTGGAGCAGTGTATAAAGTACCAGTCAACTTTTGACTGGTAGTGTATGTATTCTTAATTCATTCCTTACTTAGATTTGTGTGTATTGGTTATATGTTGTGAAATTGTTAGATATTACTTGTTAGATGTTACTGCACTGTCAAAGCTAGAAGCACAAGCATTTCGCTACACACGCAATAACATCTGCTAAACACGTGTGTATGACCAATAACAATTGGTTCGATTTGAATAAACCGGGAACTACACAAAACCTTCAGGGGACCATGACATAACGTCCTGACCATTTTAGTTCTGGGGACGACCTTGTGGCAATTTGTTTTTGCAGGGAACCAATCCAAACATCTGCCAGTAAAATATAATTGTTTACCCCAATTCTGAATACTGTATAAATCTGAATGGTTCTAAAACAGAGCCTTGGGGAACACCATATTTAATTGGTGATTTATAAAGACCAAATACCTACTATTACATAAAACATTCTCAGTGACAATACATGATAAACCTTATGCTAATTTTTTAAAATAATCTTCGTGCTACAGAGAAACTATTTCAAATGCCAGATATTTGTATAGTAATTTATAGCAACTTAAAAAACACAAAACACATAATTCAATTTTACAAAAATAAACAATCAGTTTATGTTTTAGGGTTAAAGCCTAGTTCCTTTTTACAAGCCTGCCTGGTTTTAATGATCCTAAAGCCATAGATAATAGGATTGAAAAGTGGTGGACATATTAGAAAATAAACAAAATAAAGTGTGAAGTATAGGTGGACGATGTGCAGTATAATGTCTGCCTTGTAGAATCACAAATAAACAGTCAATGGAGAAATTCAGCAAAGAGAATATATGTGGTGTACAAGTGATAAACGTTTCTGTTTTGTCTCTTTTGACGACTTCAAATATATTTTTAGAAATCTTACATGTGAGTATATGTTAGGAAATATAGTACAAGCCAAATAAAGCACAGTTACAACAAGACCCCATATTATATTTGTGTGTAATATTTGAATAGGAAAGCTTGACTACCGAGTAGTTGTCACAATACACTCTGTCTATAACATTACCACAAAATTGCAGTCGCAAACTCAGGGAGATAGGGATGATATCCATGAAAAAAAGAACATCACCAAACACCAAACTCAGACCTCCCTTCATCATTGGGGAATGTCTTCTGTGTAACTAAAACAATACAACAAAATATAGTTTTTTTCACTCATAAATCTACACACATAATGACAAAGCAAAAACAGGTTTTTAGAAACGTTGGCTAATTTCTAAAATATAAAAAAAATGTAAATGTCACATTTACATAGGTAGTCAGACCCTTTACTCAGCACTTTGTTGAAGTACCTTTGGCAGCGATTACAGCCTTGAGTCTTCTTGGGTATGATGCTACAAGCTTGGCACATCTGCATTTGGGGATTTTCTCCCATTCTTCTCTGCAGATCCTCTCAAGCTCTGTCAGGTTGGATGGGGAGCATCGCTGCACAGCTATTTTCAGGTCTCTCCAGATATGTTCGATTGGATTCAAGTCCGGGCTCTGGCTGTGCCACTCAAGGACATTCAGAGACTTGTCCCGAAGCCACTCCTGCATTGCCTTGACTGTGTGCTTAGGGTCATTGTCCTGTTGGAATGTCCTTGAGTGGCCCAGCCCGAGTCTGTGGTCCTGAGCCCCCTGAGAAGGTTGTCATCAAAGATCTCTCTGCACTTTGCTCTGTTCATCTTTCCCTCGATCCTAACTAGTCTCCCAGTCCCTGCCGTTGAAAAACATTCCCACAGCATGATGCTGCCACCACCATGCTTCACCGTAGGGATGATGGCAGGTTTCCTCCAGACGTGAAGCTTGGCATTCAGGCCAAATAATTCAATATTGGTTTCATCAGACCAGAGAATCTTGAATATCATGGTCTTATAATCCTTTAGGTGCCTTTTGGCGAACTACAAGCAGGCTGTCATCTGCCTTTTACTAAGGATTAGCTTCCGTCAAGCCACTCTATCATAAAGGCCTGATTGGTGGAGTGCTGCAGAGATGGTTGTCCTTCTGGAAGGTTCTCCCATCTCCCCAGAGGAACTCTGGAGCTCTGTCAGAGTGACCATCGGGTTCTTGGTCACTTCCCTGACAAAGGTACTTCTCCCCTGATTGCTCAGTTTGCCCTGGCGGCCAGCTCTAGGAAGAGTCTTGGTGGTTCCAAAATTCTTCCATTTAAGAATGATGGAGGCGACTGTGTTCTTGGGGACCTTCAGTGCTGCAGAATTTTTTTGGTACCCTTCCCCATATCTGTGCCTCGACACAATCCTGTCTCTGGTCTCAATGGACAATTCCTTTGACCTCATGGCTTTGTTTTTGCTCTGACATGCACTGTCAACTGTGGGACCTTATATAGAAAGGCGTGAGCCTTTCCAAATCATATCCAATCAATTGAATTTACCACAGGTGGACTCCAATCAAGTTATAGAAACATCTCAAGGATGATCCATGGAAACAGGATACACCTGAGCTCAATTTCGAGTCTCATAGCAATGGAACTGAATACTTATGTAAATAGGGTATTTCTGTTTTTGTTTTTTTATACATTTGAAAATAAATCTAAAAACTTGTTTTCGCTTTGTCATTATGGGGTATTGTGTGTAGATTGATGAGGATTTTTTATTTATTTAATCAATTTTAGAATAAGGCTGTAACGTAACAAAATGTAGAAAAAGGAAAGGGGTCTGATACTTTCCAAATGCACTGTATGTGACAACACCAGTGGGCTGGGCAGCAACGCTATCAGATCTATCATTAACATTTTTGCAGGAGATTGTGTGCTATGTATTGTGTGCCATGTACAAGAAATACATGGTTAAGTGAAAACAATCCAAAGCCTTTGACAAAGGAACGGGTTCCTTGAAAATATGACCTAACCAGGGAAAACAGAGAATAACTCTGGACCCTATGTCCTAGCTATAGTCTAAAACCTAGGCCCAGAGCTATTCCTGCTGTAGGATATCCTAGGCCTACAGTACACTTTCAGGTCCTACACTCCCAGAGGCGATGACAGAAGGTGTGCATCCCAAATGGCACTCTATTCCCTATATAGTGCACCACCTTTGACCAGAGGGCTCTGGTCAATATAGGGAATAGGGTACCATTTGGAATGCAGTCAAGACCAGCCGTGCTTCTCCTTGAGCCAGGTCTCTACAGGTTAATAGCTGCGTTAATTGGTTCCCAGGGAACGAGGTGCTAGATTGGACTAATGACCTGGTACCTAATGACTCAGTAAACATTTATATTATGCTCTTGTTATTGGCTTCTGCTTTCCCCATGGTAAAGTATGCATGGAGTAAAAAAATGTACTGGTGTTTCGGACATACTTTTCATTGACAGAACTCCTGAACTTTTTACAGCTTTTTACAGGATGGATGGAGTACATGACAAATGTATCTTATATATACAATAAATCATCATTACCCTTACTGTATTATTTTATTCTGAGGGTCAAACATATCTCACAGCGACCCTGGAAAAACAAGATGGGTATGTGGTTGGCCCACCACCTTACAAGGCCTATTTTCCATTAGGGATAGACGTAATGGGCTTAACTTTTACACATTTACATACGTTTATCCACTGTTGTCAATCGATCCAGACAGTTTTGCATTTCTATATTTGTTCAACACATAGATACAGCAGCCTCTGGCAAAACTGTACATTCAAGTAAAGAATTCAAAGTAATGAGTTCTGTTTTTTTTTTACATTTGTAAAAGTGCATCAAAGTAAAGATAAACTAAAAAGGAGTACAAAATATATATAACCAAATCATGAAAGCAACAATCAAAGTCTAGGAGGATGGGAAGGCTCATAGAGCTGAGTCTTAAGGCCTGCTTTAAAGGCCCCAACAGTCTGAACAGCCCTGAGATTGTCAGGAAGGGAGTTCCAAAGGCGTGGTGCGTGGGAGCAAAAGAAACAACCCTCTATTGTGTGTATCCAGGTCCTGGCTACATGGAGCAGCTTGACGTGGCTTAAACTTAGGGTGCGTGGAGGTTCATAGGGGGAGAGTAGGTCTGACAGGTAGGCTGGTCCGATGCCATTGAAGGCTTTGTAGGAAGTGTATTTTAAAGTAAATCCTTTGATGGACAGGTAGTCAGTGGAGATCAGCAAGTGAATAAAAGGTAAATGACAAAATTATACAAATCAGCAAATGTTTTACAAGTCTGATTTTCACAATCCTCAACCCCATTCATTAGTGCACCTATAAGTATCAAAACACACAAGTCAACATCACAAAAAAAAAAACAATCAGGCCAGAAAAGGTCACATTAATGTTTAGCTTATGTTTTAGGGTACAAGCCTGTCTGATTTTAGCCATCCTAACTCCATACACAATAGGATTTAAAAGTGGCTAGCACATCAGATAGTACACTGATAAAATAGTGTGTACAGTTGGAACATTTTTCATAGGCCTATCAAATCTACTCTGGAGCAGAGTTAAGAAACAGCCAAAAGAGAAGTTGAGCAGCGAGGCCAGATGAGAAATAAAGGTACTGAAAACTTTCTGTCTGGTCTCGATGGAAGATTTCAAACAAATAGTCAGAATCTTAATATAAGAGGACACACTAGTAATTAAAGGGACAGCGACCACAGAATCCATAGATGTTATTAACTGGTGTGTCTGAAATTGAACAGGCAAGTTTTACTACCAGGTATTTGTCACAATACACTTTGTCTATAAAGTTCCGACACAATTGCAAATGAATGGTTAAAGACAGTGTTATGAGGCATTTTGGAAACGAGTACAACCATATTGCACCAATTAAAATACACACCCTGTTGGGTGTCATGATGATATTATACTGTTGTGGATAACATATAGCAAGGTACCTGTCATAGGACATGGCTGCTAAATTGCTGAATTCAATAGTTCAATATGTGTACATGCAAAAGATCTGTAGGTAACAGTACACAGTGGAAACTGCATGGTCATCTGAAACCAAATGAGTCATGAGAGCAGGAAACAAAGCACTGCTACCATACAAGACATTTACAAACAAACTGCACAGAAACAGATATATGGGTTAGTGATGGCTTCTCTCCATACAATTTAACCACAATAAGCACTGTGTTCACAAAAACTATGGAGACGTGTAAGACAGTTATTATGAAATACAAGTACTTTAAGTGTCAACTGTCATTATAACAAGTTAGTATAAATGACGTGTGATGAGTGTGATTAGAAGGAGTCAGGCGCAAGAGGGTAAATCACTGAATACAGAGTTTATTCCATCGTGCACAGTTTCGCTGGATAGCGACCACAAAATACAGGCACAGGGGAACAATCTACCCCGGCAATACAAGGTACGGGTAGCTCCAACAAAATACAGGTACAGGGGAAATATCTACCCCGGCAATACAAGGTACGAGTAGCTCCACCGAGCTACACTCAATTCACATGAAACTATCACCCACAAGGACAAGGGGGCAGAGGGAACACTTATACACAAACTAATGAGGGGATATGAACCAGGTGTGTGTAATTGACAAGACAAGACAAATGGAATGATGATATATGGAGCGGCAGTGGCTAGTAAGCCGGTTACGACGAACACCGAAGTCTGCCCTAACAAGGAGGGGAGGTAGCCTCGGCGGAAGTCGTGACATGACGTGAATTGTGTTGAGTTCATTATTTTCCTAATAGTACCTATAGAAGTATATAAAAATAAAAACAGGATTTGTCTTCAAGAGGATTTAAGTCTAGATCACCTGGTATCTTTCTCCAGACTGCCGTGGTATAGACATAGGCCTTCTACTGTATGTTCTGTGTCAGTGGGCTATTCCACACTAAACTACTGTCACATCACTGACGTTTTATACCTTTTAAAGGAAGAACAAAACCAGTATATATCAGTGTGTTTACTTGAACTCCAATGACACCAATAATTAAATTGTCATGGTGTGACTCTCAGCCTACTGTGGGTGGTTAGGTTAGTGACAAAATAAAGGCAAATTATTGGTTGATGGAGATGACTGACATGTTGGGGGAGGTGATTGACAAGGTGAACAATTCTGTGATTTTATTTGATCATGTGAAAAATAGCTACTGTGTATTTTAAATAATATAGTGCAGGTTAAAATGAATTGATCCATTAGTGCTTAATCTTGAGAACCCTACAGAGAGAAGATTGTTGAACACTTTCCTAGCTTTCAGTTGTCCTGAACTGTCACGCCCTGGCTCTGGGACTCTGTTATGTTGAGCCAGGGTGTGTTGTTTCTATGTGTTTTGTGTGCTAGGGTGATTGTCTAGTTCATTTGTTTCTATGTTGGCCGGTGTGGTTCTCAATCAGAGGCAACGTGTATCAGCTGTTGCTTGTTGTCTCTGATTGGGAACCATACTTAGGCAGCCTGTTTTCCACAGTGCGTTGTGGGATCTTGTTCCGTGTATGGTAACCAAGGACGTCACGTTATCATTTTGTTGTTTTGTTCGTGTGGTACTCTAAATAAATAAGTATGTTCGCAAATCACACTGCGCATTGGTCCACTGTGTTTGACGATCGTGACAGAAGATACCACCTCGACTGGGTCAAGCAGCGTGAGGAGGAGAGAGGCTGGACTTGGGAGCAGAGGAGCGAGAGTCTGGCGAGAGCCATGGAGGCCTGGCCCACGGGGAGGAGAGACGCCCAGAACATTTTTAGGGGGGGGGCTCACGCCGTGGACGACGGGACAGCAGGAGGCCGGGATAGAGTGGTTCAGCGGGTTGGCAAAGGAGGCCGCCAGGTTACGGGAGTCACTGGTCACCAGGGGGAAGGAGAATGTAGAGGCACGGCGAGAGGTACTGGGGTGTGTTGCCAGTCCGGTCCGGCCCGTTCCTGATCCCCGCGTAGGGCCAGTGGTGTGTGTTTCCAGTACGGTCCGGCTTGTTCCTGTCCCTCGCACCGAGCCTGTGGTGCGCACTGTGTTTGACGATCGTGACATGAACGGTTGCTGAACATTCGTTTTCTCAAGATTAACTGTAGAACTTTAGATCACCTACAAATGTCTCAAAATATACGTTTTTTATTTTATTTGGAGTCATTAGATAATATGCTTTGGTACTGTCCATATGTAGCTTGTTTTTGGTCATAGGTTCAGGAATGGCTGAAGAATTGCAAAATTTGCCTGGAGCTAACTCTGCAAATAGCAGAGTAAAAAGTCATAGTCATAGTCAATTGATCAATAATATAATAATACTTTTAGCAAATAAAAATATCTTTAATTTACAATATGTAGAATCTATGAGAATAGAAATCACAGCACAGTTGAAAAATATATGGCAAATAGAAATCAAAACTGTATGGTGTTCAGAGATAGATGGGAGGGGTTGAGTGGAGCTGAAGATTGGGACTAAAAACAAACAACAGATAGCTATTGAAATATATACTGTGTCCGTAAAATGTATATAGTATGTATAAGCTGGAAGTAGAAGCCTAAGTGTTGTTGTCCATGAGTTTACTCCAATTAGGGGAGGGATGGTACATGTAAATGTAAATATACAATTTATATACAGTGAGCGAAAAAAGTATTTGATCCCCTGCTGATTTTGTACGTTTGCCCACTGACAAAGAAATGATCAGTCTATAATTTTAATGGTAGGTTTATTTGAACAGTGAGAGACAGAACAAAAAAAATCCAGAAAAACGCATGTCAAAAATGTTATAAATTGATTTGCTTTTTAATGAGGGAAATAAGTATGTGACCCCCTCTCAACCAGAAAGATTTCTGGCAATACAGTCTCTTTACAAAGTACCAATTGCTTGTGTGCGTGTTAATGAATATCATACAGATTGGTTTCCCACACCCTCGGGTGTAAAATAAGGAGATGCCTTATCACCGACTTTGTTTGCTATGTTTATAAATGATTTGGCAAAATAAATTAAACAGTTAAATATTGGAGTAAGATATGATGAAATGCTAAGTATCCTTTTAAATGCTGATTATATTATTTTGACGGCAGAAACTGAACAAGACCTGCAGAACATGTTATTATTGTAATGAATACTCAGGGAGAAAAAGGTGTGGATTCACGCACAGAGCGTGGCAGGTGTTTATTTCGCCTTCGCAGAAGGCAGGACGTTGGGCCAGCCCCACGTCCATCAGGTTTCCGGCGGCCCCAGAATCCACCATTGCATGTGCCCGATGCGCAGCGCGGGCCCAATGAACCCTGACGGGGAGAAAAGTCTGGGAGTCTCTGGAGTTGGGGTTTCGGTTCCGGCTTGCTAGCACCCCTCCCGATTCTAGCGAGCCCTCCTGTTTCCCGGCTTCTCCGGGCATTAGTTTCAGTGGTGACCTGCCTGGCCGCAGTACAGGCAATGTCCCTGGCGCAGACGCCTCTGCCTCTCCATCCTGAACCAGCACGCTGCACCCAGCTGCATAGACTCCTCCTGAGGCGTTTCCTCCCTGAATCGGCTGAAAGCCTCCATCCCTCTCTCATGCGCCCTCTCACGACGCTGATTGTCTACCCGCACCGAGAGGTCGACGAGACCATCCAGTCGCTCAGGCAGCTCCCTGAAGGAGATTTCATCCTTCATCCCCTCCGATAGCCCCTGCACGTAAAGGACGACCAGGGCGGCCTCCTCCCATCCTGCCTCTCAAGCCCGGGTCCAGAACTCCACAGAGTAGTCGGCCACCGAACGGTCACCCTACCGACAGGCCGTGAGCCGCCACCCGAGAGGTGTCGAACACCTTGCGTAGCTCCCGGGTGAATTGGTAGGAGATGGTGAAACAAGGATCTTTACTGGTGGTCCCGAAGCCAGGATAATAAACAACGGACTTAACACGATAAAAGAAAGGTGGAGCAAATAAGTCTCCAAAAACAGGCTGACAGCTAAAATACGAAATAGTAACTACGACTGAAATAATAAAGAAACAGGGAGAACACTTCTCGAGTACCTGTACATACTTCTCCGATCAGACACTGATTATTACTGCTGGGCATAGAGAAACTAGCAGAGAAAACTGAGAAAGGGAACACAGGGAAGTGAGTGCATAAATACATAGGTGAAACAGGTAGACACATGTGACATCAATAGGTATGTTGATTAGTCCAGACTGTGAGTAAGGAGGTGCTTAAGGTTGTCAGAGGATGACACCCAGTGGGTCCCTCCGGAACTGCGACCCCCTCCTGTAACACTTTTCTATTAAAAACTTTGAAAGGTTTTAACTTTCCAGCTGAAATAATACATGTAAAAAAATTTATACGTATATAAATATCCTAAAGCAAAAATATACACAAATAATACAATTATGAAATTGCTTTAGAAAGGGGAACAAGACAGGTATGTCCTCTCTCCCCCTTCATGTTTGCACTGGCAATTGAACCGCTTGTAGAAATAATTAGACAGGACCCAAATGTAACAGGTATCAGTATTGATTAACATGAATATAAACTAAACTTATTTGCAGACCGTCTCCTGATATGCCTGACCATTATTGAAAACTCAATGCCCCCCTCTCTTAAAAATATGTTCAGATTACCCAAAATGTCAGAATATAAAATGTATGTGGAACAAAAATGAAATGATGGTAATAGGAAAAATTAAATGTTTAACTCATGATCTAGAGCAATACTTTAAGTGGACCACAAAAAATATCATATACTTAGGATGCTTAATAAGTGACAACAAACAACAAAATATATAAAGATATATTTGGTAATACTTATACTTGGTATAATATAATAAGTATACTTGGTAATAACAGACTTTATATGAGCAAATAAAACTAATAGAATAAAAAGGAAAGTTTTACATCTTCCTAAGTCTGAGTGTGGTTTTAACCTTCCAGGAACTGTATCAACTCTCCACCCAAGGATTTTACTTGAAACATTAAATTCACTAAAGAGTAACAATGGGTACATATTGAA